ATGCGTCACCCCCACCCAGTACAGCGTTTCGTGGCCCCATAGGCAGCTCCACCGAAGGCTTCAGTGGCACCACCCGCATGCGTCCCCCCCAAACAGTACAGCGTTTCGTGGCCCCACAGGGAGCTCCACCGAAGGCCCCAGGGGGACCGCCCGCATGCGTCACCCCGATCGAGTCCAGCGTTTCGTGGCCCCATAGGCAGCTCCATCGAAGGCCCCGGCGGCACCGCACGCATGCGTCACCGCCACCCAGTACAGCGTTTCGTGGCCCCACAGGGAGCTCCACCGAAGGCCCCAGTGGCACCGCCCGCATGCGTCACCCCCATCGAGTACAGCGTTTCGTGGCCCCATCGGGAGCTCCGCCGAAGGCCCCAGTGCCACCGCCCGGATGCGTCACCCCGCACCCATTACAGTGTTTCGTGGCCCCATCGGGAGCTCGACCAAAGTCCCCAGTGCCACCGTCCGCATGGGCCACCCCCACCCAGTACAGCGTTCCGTGCCCCCATGGGGAGCTCCACCGAAGGCCGCACTGGCGCCGCCCGCATGCGTCATCCCCCACCCAGTGCAACGTTTCGTGGCCCCACCGCCCGCATGCGTCACCCCCATCGAGTACAGCGCTTCGTGGCTCTATAGGGAGCTCCACCGAAGGCCCCAGGGGCACCGCCCGCATACGTCACACCCACCCAGTGCAGCGTTTCGTGGCCCCATAGGGAGCTCGACTGGAAGCCCCAGTGGCACCGCCCGCATGCGTCACCCCCACCCAGTACAGCGTTTCGTGGCCCCACAGGGAGCTCCACCGAAGGCCGCACTGGCACCGCCCGCATGCGTCACTCCCCTGCCCAGTACAGGGGTTCGTGGCCCCATCGGGAGCTCCACCGAAGGCCCGAGTGGAAGCACTCGCATGCGGTTCCCCTACCCAGTACAGCGTTTCGTGGCCCCATTAGGGAGCTCCACCGAAGGCCCCAGTGGCACCGCACGCATGCGTCACCCCCACCCAGTACAGCGTTTCGTGGCCCCATCGCGAGCTCCACCGAAGGCCCCAGTCGCGGCGTCCGCATACTCTTCCCCCCAGTACAGCGTTTCGTGGCCTCATGGGGAGCTGCACCGAAGGCGCCGTTGGCTGTAGTCGCATGCGTTTCCCCCAGCCATTACATGTTTTCGTTGCCCCATAGGGAGCTCCACCGAAGGCCCCAGTGGCGGCCCCGCCCCACTGCGGCGCACCCCTTACACTTTTCGTAGCCCCGTAGTGCGTTCTGCCGAAAGCACCAGTGGCAGCGCCCACATGGCGGCCCCGCCCCACATCGGCACACCTCGCATGCTTCATGGCCCCATGAGGAGATCCCCCGAAGGCGATACCTGCAACGACGGTTCTCACATATGGTTGGATCTTTCGCCAGGATAATTTTTGAATCTGGGACCCTGCGAGCCCCCTTCCCCCCCGCGGGACCTCTCCGGATCCTTGGCCCCAGGGGCACCGCCCTTTCAGACGGTTCCTTGTGCTTTCCAGGGCGCTTGAAGCCCCTGCTGGGCCCAGGCAACGTGCCCAAACCTGTCAGCAGGGCGGCCGGACGGTCCGGCGAGAGCCCACAGAGGCCCCAGACACCCGCCACTCTCCAGAGGATGAGCGAAAGAAAGATGACTTCCAAGATGTATTCAAATGCAACCCAGGAGGCCAGAAAAACGCCCAATTTTCAACCAAGAGGGCTTCCAGGCAGTCAAGGAGGAGCCCCAAGACGGCCCAACAGGGCCCAAAGATGGCCCGAAGAGAGCCCCATGACGGCCCAAGATGGCCCCAAGACGCCTCCGAATCATTCCAAATCGTGCCCTGGTCGTTCATGGAGATCGCGGTTGAAGCAGGGTGGCCTGGGGAAGCCCCCAGAGGCCCCAGAATGAACCTGGCAGGCTTCCAGAAGGCCCCAGCAAGCCTTTTATAAGAGGCTCTTTTTGCATGAACCCCGGCGAATTAGCAGGGCAGGGCGAGAATGAGGAAGAGGAAGAGGAAATATGAGGGAAAGATAACGAATAATATTATTTCAGCGATGATGCCAGAGAAGGCAACAACGAATTATCGCTAAGTCTTTCGATTTACCTTGTTGCCCTCCTGCCTGCATGCCGAGCCTCGACTGCCAATGCGCATGGCGCGAAGCGCTAATGCAGCTTTGTGCACACATATGAAACATATGCAGGTTTGTGTGTATATATATATATATATATCTATATATAGATGTATACAAATATACATGTATGCAGCTCCCCAGCACCCACTGATTTTCCACGTCGTCGTCGTGCGTGCGTGCGTGCGGGAAACAGGAACCCGGGAACTGAGAATTTGAAGCCGGGAGCCGGTATCCGAGACTCATGCGCTTGATGGCCGAGGGGCTCCACTGACGGTCCTAGTGGCGCAGTTCGCATGCGTTTCAGCCGCCCATTGTGGTAATCACACCTCTCACACGTTTCGTGGCCCGATAGGTGGCTCCACCGAAGGTCCCAATGTCGCAGTTCGCATACGGTCCCGCCACCCATTCAGGCACACCCTCACACTTTCCGTGGCCCCATAGGGGGCTCCACCGAAGTTCCCAGTGGCGCAGTTCGCATGCGGTGCCCCACCCATAGGGAGCTCCACCGAAGGTCCTAGTGGCGCAGTTCACATGCGTGCCCGCCACGAATTTCGGTACACCTCTCACACGCTTCGTGGCCTCATAAGGAGTTCCACCGAAGGTCCCAGTGGCGCAGTTGCATGCGGTCTCGCACCGATTCCGGCACACAGCTCACACGTTTCCTGGTTCCATGAAGAGCTCCGCCGACGGTCCCAGTGGCGCAGTTCGCACGCGGTACCGCACCCATACCGGTACATCCCTCACATGTTTCGTGGCATCATAGGCAACTCCACCGAAGGTCTTAGTGGTGCAGGACGCATGCGGCCCTGCACTACCCATCGGTCGTAGAAAGTATGTATTCTTGGATTCCCAGATTCCAATCTACTTTCAGCGCCTTCCTACTTCAAGAGTCGAGTGGTTTTCCCTCTTCCCTCCTCTTCAGGAGGC